GTAGAGAACCGAACTGTTCGAGATGGGAGACATTCGACCAACGAGGTTTGACTGTACTACCAAATTAGGTGACCCTGTAAGCTCCTGATCTACCAGGGAGATGAGTCATGGCCAAAAAGATCCACTGCAACGCATAATGCAGTTCAATGTCCTGAGTGTGTGGTTCAGAGAAAGCGCTAACATCCAGCAGAGGCCCACTGAGGGAGCTTTCCTGATAAAGCGAGGCCTGGAAGGATGAGTAAACATCCTTTGATGATTCTATGTAGGATTAACAACCTCGTGTTTGTCTTTCCTTAAGTCTTTTTAAGACCAGGGACTATTTTTATCTTTGTCTCTCCAGCACCCAACAAAGTCATCACTCAGTAAGTGACTGTGGGATGGGTAGAGAGAATGTTATGGAAAAGCACATCCCAAGCAGACAGAACATCACGACAGAAAGGAAAAGCAGAAATAGCTTTTTTTTTTAAATTTAGTTGCTACATCATGAACAGTATCTGTGTTGTCCAACTCCAGGAGGCCCCACTGTATTCCATGGGAATCCACCCCCTCCAGGGTAGATGCAGCATGAATGGAGCCCCGCACCCGCCCCCCCAAGGTGTGCAACACAGCTGCCCTAAATATGGGCATCCCTGTTCACAAGCTCTTAGCAAAGGAATGTTCTAACCAGCTCTGCTTTCCTCATTGTCACTCCATGGTATGCCATGGCTACTTTGCAAAGTCTATATTTTAAAATTCCCGTCCACATCACAGATGCTGGTAGCTTCAGGGACCAGAGTCAGTGTCACTGTGCAGAGGAGCATGGGCTGCCTATGAAGCCAGACCTCTCCTGGCAAATTCTGGCTCCACCAGATGCTTTGTGACCAAGAGAAAGTGACTTCATCTCTTTCTGCTAAATATCTTCATCTCAATGTCTTTATGTCACTGGGTTATTTATTATGAAGATTACATAAATAGAGGGAAAATGTTTAGAAGAGTGCCTGACACAGAGTTGTAATGAGCAAATGTTAGACATTATCATTTCCAGGGCATAGGCAGCTAATTCCATTGTCAATTCACATTCTTCCTGGAGAGTGACTGCTGAGATGTCGCCCTCGGGCAAAAAGGGAGAAAATGGGGAACATCTGTAATACAGTCAACAATGAAAAATAAATAAACAAATAAATGAAAAGGAATGAAGAGTTGTAGATAGGACAAATGTATAAAGCAATCCAAGTTGGATGAGAAAAAGAAAAGGAAAATATCTCATGTGCTTTTTTGTAAAATAGCAAGACTGCTTGCTATTTGAAGTCTACCAGCAGGTTCTACATCATTAGAGATGTTAAAGCCAAGGACATCAGTGTGAAGTCATTCAACTTAGACTGTATTCTTACTTAGGGCTTAAAATACAGAAGAGGGAAAGGTGAGTGGATGAAAAAGTAGTGTTTTATACAGAAGTCACATGAATAACTTCATAGAATTCACATGAACAGACTTCCGTCATCTCACTGACAGCTCACTCAAGGAGGGTGTTGCAATACTACTAGACAAACACAATTAGGTCATAATCCTCATTATGATTGTCAAGCCACCAGAAATAAGAGGGGGGAGAGGGTAGTGCATGTAAACTGTTAATGTGTATGAAACAAGAAAATAAAGGAAATTAAGCGAAGTTTTACTTTACACGCCAGTTTCATACCAGTAGTGAGCATAAATCCAATACAGCAATCCTGCTTTAAAAGAAGTTGAAAGTGAAAGAAAGAAATTGAGGGGAGGGGGATTTAAAAAAACACACACAAAAAAAGTTGATTGCAAAAAGAAAGCATTAGTTGATTATTTAAAAATCTGGCTGATTCTGGCTAACTATGCTTATCTTAAATGAAACTCTTTTTTTTACATTAATGCTTAATTGCATGATGTTTTTGATTAAAAAAAGAGTTTACATTTGCTTTGCATTAAAGAATAAGAATTCACAGTGCCATTTGGGGAAGAAAATGTGAAAAATCTAAAAGAATTACTCAACAGGCCATACCATACTAATTACAAGATGCAATATGTAGCTACAAATTGTGTTCCAGTAGAGGGAGCCCTGGAACAGAGACTGACAGAAGAAACTGATGTAAATCTAAAATTAATTCAACAAACCCAGTGTTGTATATAGAAATATGTCAATGCTCAGTAAAGGTTTTGAATATTGGTGAATATCCACATTTAGGGACTTCCTGACGTTCCCTACACAGGCACTAAATCATGTTTAAAAGGAGCAATAAAAATAAATGTGAACACCATGGAGAAAAGGCTAAATTAAACTGCTTGCTTTTTGGGTTATGTATGTGCTAATAGTGATAACAGGACTAAGTTCTTGTAATTTGCCCTTTCTTGACAATTTATTGTGTGTGTTATGCATGAGAGACACAATGTCCCAGATAACAATCAAATAAAGGAAAACTGTACTCAAATTCCTTCGATCCTGATGTACCCAACCACACCTAAAAACTTTGATTACAAGTACAAAATTCTTGCCCTAACCGGCATGGCTCAGTGGATAGAGCGTCAGCCTGCGGACTTAAGGGTCCCAGGTTCGATTCCGGTCAAGGGCATGTACCTTGGTTGCGGGCACATCCCCAGTAGGGAGTGTGCAGGAGGCAGCTGATCGATGTTTCTCATCGATGTTTCTAACTCTCTATCCCTCTCCCTTCCTCTCTGTAAAAAATCAATAAAATATATATTTTAAAAAAAAACAAGTACAAAATTCTTAAACAATATGTCATTGTAAAGGACATAAACAATAAGATTACCCTGTAAAATACAATTTTTTAATTTATTTGGGTGGGGGGGTAAATTGTGTTGAAGGGGTTCAGAACAGCTTCCCCAAGATGAGCCACTTTGGCACGTGGATTATTTGAGCTGAAGGCAATTGAGGTCTAAGGGCTCAAGTGAAAATTTACCTCTCCCTTAAAGAATTTAAATTGGGGTCCGTGCCCACAGTAAGAGGTATTGCCAGAGATAACTTTTTATGACCTATCCAAAGGGCACGGCAAACATCTAATTACTGAATATCTGCTCTTTTTAATATACTTGTATTGATTTCAGAGAGGAAGAGACAGAAACATCAAGGATGAGAGAGAATCACTGATCGCTGCCTCCTGCATGCCCCACACTAGGGATCGAGCCCGCAACCCGGGCATATGCCCTGACCAGGAATGGAACCGTGACCTCCTGATTCCGAGGTCCGTGCTCAACCACTGCGCCATGTCGGCTGGACATCTTATGTCCTTCCAATGATCTACCTCTGCTCAGATACAAGAGTCAACATAATATCCAAATACCCAGTACTTGCCATAGCTAAACTCTAGGAAGCTTCATTTAGAGATCTCTGCAAAACATTATGCAATATCCAAATCACAAATAAGGGTCAGTCTGACTGCAGAAATCTTGCTACCTAAAATTGTTATTTCTATGCCAGAAGAAACAAACAAACAAACAAAAAAGATGATCTGGGTGTCCCAAGCAGAGAATGCTGAGAAAAAGAATCCTGATCATTTGACTCTCATGCCAGGTTATTTGTTGAAGGCACAGGTTGTTCCTATAAAAGAGGTTTCACGTCAGCTGTACTTTGGTCATACTGGGCTTCCATGTGCCCACTTAACATTTTACTGAGAGCCTTGCCTTGCTTCACTAATTAACAGGACAAGAAACAAACTAAAGGGGGGTCAGTAATGACAGCTTTGGGACATGAAGTGCAGGGAACCGGGGTTCAGGCTCACAGTTCATGCGGAGTTGTTTAAATGGGGCTCGCTTCCCCTGGGAGCCTACAGAGAAGGGATGAAAAGCGTAAATGTCAAACAAGCGGTGAATGGGCAGATCACCGAGTTGAAAGGGCTTTCATCAAGCCCAGCCCCAGGGAAGAAATACATCAAACGCACCCCAAAGGAAACAAAAGCTGAATTATGAACTGCAACATCTGAAAAGCATCAGCGATGTGTCTTAGAAACACTACCAGTGAGACTGAAGTCTGAAGTCTCAACCCCCAACTCTCCCTCAGAAGTGCTTTCTAATAATACTGACCACATTCCAAATAGCTTCGGTCTGCCAAGAACTCAAGGATTGTACTTCCCCTGCTCAGCAACCAGGGTGAAAAATCAATGCCAGGGGAACCGTAGTCCTTACTTTTGAAGCACATTGCAAATTTCTTGCTGGCATTTATCCACAGAGGGAGTAGCTCCTAAATAAATGTAGGGAGTGAACATGACCTTTAGCGGCTAAAGTTTAGCCGATCATTTTGGTTCCCAACAGGAAGGCAGGAGAGGCAAAACGAAGAGAATGAGTGAATATGAATGTAAAGGAAAAGTGAGAAAAACAGAGGAGCAAAGAATTCATTTGGGGGAAAGATGAAAGCAAAAGGCCATACAAAAAAATAAACAAAAGCAAGAAGAGGAAAACTATACTCCACCTAAAGACAAATGACTAGAGAAGGAAAGAGAAGGGGGTAGCACAGAATAGCTTTTGGGTCCAGAATTACTTAACTTTAAAATTAACTTACTGTGACTTTAGCACTGATTGGGGTTGGGGTTTGGAATCCTAGACAAGGAAAGAAGCTAGCAGTGGAGAGACAAAGCGAGACAACGCAGGAAAGCAGAGAGACCCTCCCTCAAAGCTGCGGGGCAGCATCAGGTTGGGCTGGATCAAGGAAAAAGCTGGTGATGAGCGGGGTCCTGTAAGTGCTCGGAGAGGCAGCAGTCACGCGGGTTCACTTTTTCGTGGAAGAGCCAAGATTCTCCGTGGGCTGGAGGGGGGGGGGGTAGCTGCATCAACCCACCCACCACCCACCACCCACCACCCACCTCCCGAGGGAGCCTTTGAGGCAGGACTAACAGACGGGCTTTCCTGGGGCAAGAGAAGTGGAGGGAATCCTCTCCGACCTGGCAAGACCCGACGGAGACCCCCAAACAGAACGCAGCGACCAGGGTCAAGAGCGGTGAGGCCAGGGGCCTCCAGGGGCCCTTCCCAGGTCCCCAACTCACCGATGCCAAGCCCGACGACCAGGCGGCCGGCGAGCAAGGTCTCCTTGTTGTTTCGCCCCGGCCAGCCCCGGGGAAGCCGCGGTGAGGAGGGCACTGCCCAGCAGGGATGGGAGGCGCGGCCGCCCCCAGACGCCCGTTCAAGGCCCCCGCCCCGCCAGCGCCCGAGACGGCGGCCCGCCCCCACCGTGCTGGACACCAGCAGCTCCTGCCACAGCGCGTCCAGGCTTGGCTGCCGCTTGAGCAGCAGCATGGCCCCCGACACCACGCCGGTGTCATAGCCGAACAGGAAGCCCGCCCAGCGCGGAGAAGACCGCCACCACGTACACGAAGGCGGG